CTTCGGAGTGGTATGACTTCCTGGAGTGACTTTTGTCTTTCTGGGCCTGAAGATGGGAATTATTAAGTCCCGAAACATGTTGCCCCCTTCTTTTCTTTTAAGCAAATTAAATTTGAAATAAACATCTTAAAAGATTGTGATTTTTTTGTCCCCTACCCCTCGTCAGAGGTTTTAGACAGCTATAATATGGTCTACAAAAACAAAAGCTCGCAAGATCTCGGATGAGGTCGACACCTCCTTGCTTCCTGGTTAGCCTACGAAACAATCTAGAATTTGAGGAGACATCGATCCATACAAAGGGTATAGAGACCATTGCCGTTAAAATCAGTAACATCATAAGTTTGCAGTGTTACCCACGTTAAATACTAAAGACTAAAACCACGTTAAATACTAAAGATATCGACAAAACCATAAACATGGCAGATAAAACAATCATGATTGGTGACCTGAACGCCTAATATATAGAAAAGCGATGGAGGTGCTGACCGAGCCAGAATATCTAGAAATTCTGGCGGACATCAAAGCGCGAACGCTCAAAACAATCTCGATAAAAGATGTGATGTCCGCCACTGGGTTAACACAGGCTCAGGTCAGGCACAGGGAGGGAGAGCCAAATCAATAAGAAGTGCCTGGAACGTGCTAGAACCAACCTCCGCGCATTTAAAGCTAACGGCCCTCACTCTATTAGCAAAATCCCTCCTGCTGCAGCAAAAGAACAAGAAAACAAGTCCTCCAAACACATGCATAACAACACCATCTACACCGCTAACTTCGCGCATCCAGACGACCAACATAGACACCATAACACCAGGCAAGAGACGCAGATCACCATCAGAACTGTCGCCACTCCTGAACAGACCCGCTAAGACTATCAAGTGCTGCTCGAACGAGGAGTATAGTGATTCCTATCAGTCGTCCATCCAAAAAAACAATGAAGAGGAGAGCAGAACATGGACCCACCACACACTATCACAAAACGAAAACGCCATCTTTCTAACGCCACGACCGAACAACAACAGCCCAAATGAAACGATCTATTTTACCCCAGAGGCAAAAGGCTCAAGATTTGTTTAAAAAGGATAAATCAATGCTGGTCTACATAATTCTATCTGGTCGAGCCCCCAACGAACCGCCTGAAACACCATCGATGGAGGACGTCGAGAGGTTCTATAGCAACATCCTGGAAGGCCAATCCACTATAGACCAAGAGGACATAATCCCCAAGAACGCCGCTAACACCTTCCAGCTCATAACACCAAGCGACGTAGAGAAGGCTACGGCGCACTGGAAAGTTTCCGCGCTAGACCCAGATGGATTAACAGTGCAGCAGGCCAAGACCATCCCAGCAAGCCACTGGGCCGTAGTAATGTCGACCATCCTTTTCCGAAATGTGCACCCTTCAAACTAGAAATTACTACGGACTGTTCTTGTGATCAAGGACGGCGACCGAAGTTCTGTCAACTGGGTCGGCCTGTCAACGTCTGATGCATAGGGTACTGAACAATAAGCTTAAAAACAGCATTGAATTGAACGCGGGCCAGAGGGGATTTACGCAAATCGATGGAACCCTGGCGAATGTCCTGCTCCTAGACCATTTCATTAGGTTCAGAACAGAGCAGGACAATTCGTTAGCGTGGTGTCCCTGGATATCAGCAAGGCATTAGAGAAGGTGTCGCATCACAGTGTGCAAAGCGGGCTTCAGAGAATGGGGATAGACAGCCATATGATCTCATATATCATGGAAACTCTATATGGCTGCTACAGCAATAAAGATAAAGTAACAAACTTCCCGGAAAATTCACAAATAAACCGAGGAGTAAAACAAGGTAACCCCTTAAGTCCATTACTATTTAATATAGTAATGGACGAATTACTGGGTAAACTCAATACAGGGAACAATGGCGGCACTTTGCATGATGGTGTAAAGATGGCGATTAAGGGCTTTCGCGGACGACTTGATATTGATGGAGGACGATATGCCCCTCTCAGTCGATGAAACAACGCAATTCCTGAGCAAGCGTGGAATGAGCCTGAATCGGAAAAAGTGCACCTTCTTATCAGCCTCAACTCATTATGGCAATAAGAAGTCGTCAATAATTGAAAAGTCACTCTACAGTATCCAGCATAAACGGCACGAAAATTCCATCAAATAGCGGACTAACAGCATTTAGATACCTCGGACACCTGTATGGCACATCGGGCGTCCGAAAACCATCTCTGTGCGACTTACAGACCTGAATAGCAAGGCTACACCGGACCCCCCTTAAACCTGACCAGAAGCTGGCGATCCTGAAGGATCACGTAATCCCCAAGGTGCTGTACAGTCTTCAAACATTTCAGATGACCGGGGAGATCCTGAAGGAAGCGGATAGGATGATAAAGGGTGCAGCTAAGAAAATAATACACCTACATAACCACGTGTCTGACGCAATCCTATTCACTAAAATTAAGGACGGGGGCCTTGGTATAACAGAGAAGTATTTTATTGCTCGGTATACTGCAAGTTTCTGTACGGTAAGAAGACACCATAGCAGCCAACTCTCAGGACAAATTTGAGGTATTTGTAGCTACAATGGCTAGAATAAACTACCTAACCATAGACTTATCAAATCAAGAGACGGAAGACCCAATCAATAGTCAAATGAACCGCAACAGCCCAGCCACAACTATTAATATAAACGACCTCTCATCAGTCCAAGAGAGGTAAAAAGAATCATTTCAAAGTCAAAAATGTTTAAAGCACCAGGACCTAATGGGATTATTATGAAGGATCTCAAATCCCCCCCCCCATACCGACTAAAGCAGTAGTCCAACTAACATACATATACAACGCGTGCATCAGATTGGGCTACTACCCAATGGAGTAGAAAACCCCAAAAACCATATTTATACCCAAATCAAACAAAGATATAAACAAACCTGAAAATTAGAAACCAATTTCACTTTAAGCCCTTTGAGGAAAATCCTAGAAAAAATAGTAGGAGAAGATCAAATTACACTATAAAAACCCCCGTTCACATACACTAGGTGTATTTTACAGATTCCACAAATAAAGAAACAGTCTATAAAGCTAAAAAGTACTAACAGGAACAGACAATTTATAAGCTCGCCGACTTCGGTAACGACAAATTAATGGTACTGTTACGACTAAAAAATAACAGATAGGAAAACTAATATCGACTTATAAACGCCGTCTGTCAGTAGTACCGCTGCTTGCCGGCAGAATAGAAGAAATTACCAAAACAGAAAACGACACACGACTCGACTGGGACTTGGCTTCATTCTTTGAATTTTGACATAACACTATTGTGTGATAACACTATTACAGAGCACTAATGGTATAAACTAGCGACACTAGCACCGCGCGCGGCCTAAAAGCCAAAAACAGTGTTTTTAAAGGCCAAGAAGAGTGCACATAGCAAAGTCGGCCTGATGATTTTAATAAATTCCCGAAACCAGTTGTCGGATGGCTGTTTTTTTCGCTCTGATAAACTTAATGCATAAATTAGCACACCTATAGCGGTTAAGGCATTTTTACGCTTATGTATACTGTGTATATTTTATAATTTGCTTCATTTTAATTTTAAGGAGTTCTTAAAAATGTTTCAAACACATTTTTCTGTAAAATAAAATGGAGAAAACTTATTCATCACTTTTTAAATTTACATGGAATTACCTGTGTTCAGGTCTATGATACAACACACGGTACATTATATATTTTATGTAACGATATTACGTATTACTAAAATATTCTGCTGCATTTTAAATTAGCAAGCAATTTTATGCCAAACACAAAGCACTCTTCGATTTTAAGAACTATTTTTAGCATCAGCTATTAAATGTTGTCATTTTAAATTGAAAGCAGTATTAAAATTTTCAGCAAAAATAAAGTGGCGTTGATAAGTTTGTACTTAATATTTAGATTTTCATAAATTATACCTACTTGACATCTTAATATAAAGCAATTTTTATTTTATTTCTAAGGAAATATATTAATAAATTATGGTCGTAACAAATTTATTTTACATTTTGAAATACTGAAGGGAAATTAGAATGCGTATATTTTAATTGCTAATAAATTAAAAAAATATATACCACAATATGCATGTTCTCCTCTCACATCTACAAAAGCGTATTTTTTTGTAATAGGAGTATATCTATTTTGCGGTAAATTACGAATCATAATAATAATAGTTTTCCGTATATGGGGTTTACATGGATAAACTGATGCCTAGATGTTCAAATCCCACTGTTACCGTCGGATTTGAATCTACAGGGGGAGGAAATATATCAGAAGATTCCTATCCTTGAAGAAGAAGAGAGACGGCCGTTCCCAACAAGACAATTCGACTCACATATAAATTTTTACCTTTGGTTCTAATTCATTTAAGTTATTTAAATTAAGCAGTTGATTGTCAACCAGGATACAATACACATGTAATAAAACCATTTTTTGTAATAAACTTAATAATCCTCTGCACAATAAGGCCTTAAATACTAACAGAGACTGTATGTTTTGTTAATTGACTCATTCAAACTGTCCTCATGATGGGAATCAAATTCTCGAAAGCTTGACAAATTGAAAAAGTGGTTTTATTAACCTACGTGGTGATTATTAACTGCATCCTCACTTAAGTTTTGAGTTTTTTCTTAACTTAGTCACGACCAAACCTGTTTTTTTAAATATTTACTAGTGTCGGTCTGTACTTACTTTGCTATAAATATCGTAATCTTAAACTATACAGGGCGTTCAAAATTTTGTGCCAAACTTTCTAAAATATAAAATCATTTTTCTTCGTTTTTTTTTAATAGAACACTCTTCTTTTCTCCTTTGTTAGATAGAGTATTAACAAATGAACATTTTTTATATTTAAGGTATTTCAAAATCTGTATCTTGTGTCAATATCAGTCTGGTATTTTATCGTTGAAAGAGCCATATGTAATAAAAACGCGAATATTTGCGAAACCGTTAAAAATTTAAAAGAAAGTCCATACTAAGGTGAAGAGCCTCTAGTCGATAGAAAAATGTAGGTAAGGGAAGTCGGCAAATTGGATCCGTAACTTCGGGATAAGGATTGGCTCTGAGGATCGGGGCGTGTCGGGCTTGGCGAGGAAGCGGGTACTGGCTAATGTGCCAGGCCTGGGCGAGGTGCAAGTTTTTGCGAACCGAATCCGAGCTCGGTCCTGAGCCTTGGCCTCCCGCGGAACCGCTTTGCTGCGAGGCCCGTTTGCGTAGCGTTTCACGACGTTACGCTTCGGTGTCCTCTTCGGCCGCTATTTAACGGTCAGCTCAGAACTGGCACGGACCGGGGGAATCCGACTGTCTAATTAAAACAAAGCATTGCGATGGTCTTAACTTGATGTTGACGCAATGTGATTTCTGCCCAGTGCTCTGAATGTCAAAGTGAAGAAATTCAATCAAGCGCGGGTAAACGGCGGGAGTAACTATGACTCTCTTAAGAGGTGGGAGAGCGTCTCTTAGATGGTGGAGAGACTGAAAGTGGCGAGTGCCGGGCCAAAGCTCGACACTCGCCTTTTTTATGCCTATTTTTCTAGCTACATATACAACATGGTACCCCACCTCTAGACGTCTAGTCCTCAACCCTTGGCCTCCCCGTGGCACCGCCGGTAACTGGGACACCTTCCCAGGCCAACAAGGGATTAACCATGCGCGTCATGCGCCACTCGAGGTTCCGACCGGCCATGTGGGTCCGGAAGGCACTCGGGTGGAGGCATTTGGCGTCCGAAAGAGTTGAAGCGTCATCACTCGAGCAGCATGGTTACGTTAAGCCCCGACCCATTTGGGACCCGCCGCGGTTGAGTAGGTCCTGCTCAGCCGTTCGGGGCTGCCTTCTGGAGATAGCCGGCCAGATCCCTCTGCGGACGAAAGCTTTGGGAACACTCCGGGCCATCCAGGCCGGGCGGGATGGAGCTCACATCCTTCGGAGGAGGCAAAGAGGCCCCCGTTAGTCTAGCACGCTAACGGGGGGTAATACTGAATCGCTGGCAGTATGAGAAGGATAGCCTCGGATGATAATGGAGGACACGAGCCTCGTCCTCCATCATTAAGGCAGGAGGCTCAACGAAGACGACAACGCCTGGAATTGGACAATGAGACGGATAACGATTTTGAAATATGGCTCCCTTTCGAGGTACAGAGTTGCGTTCTGTGCCTCGAACACGACCGGAATTTCTTACACCTGAGTTTACAAGATCAGGTGCGGCATGCAAAAGATTTCCACCCAAGAGTTCCGGTCAGATATATTTGCCGCATATGTGAAAAGGCTTACGCAACAAGCCACGGGGCACTTTGCCACGTCCCTAAGTGTCCCAAGAGGGGGGCTGCGGCCCTGCCTGAGGAAGGCCTCACGAGCGAGGCGGAAGAAGGAGAACCCGTGCCGCAGAAGGGGAAGTGCCCCGACTGCGGAGGTGTTTTCCCAGGCCGTGGTGCGCTGGCCACGCACCAAAGGCATAGGCACCCCGTCACCCGAAATGAGGCGAGGGCAGCTGGTACCCGGCAGGTCACTCCTCCCCCAATTAGCATTGAGTTCACTCTATCTAAACTACCGAGATGGACGAGGGAGGAGTTAAATACCATGTTGGAGTGCGAACTCCGGTACCAGGGTGACGCGTTTATGGCGGTCAGAATGCGTGAGCAGTTGCCACACCTTACTTTGCACCAGTTAAGGGACAGGCGGAGGTCGGTCCACTTTACACGCTTGCGTGACGACTTCCTATCTCTGAGAAGCAGAGCAATGGAGGGGGACGCTTCACAGGATCTCGCTGCGTCGGTTGCGGCTGGCGTAGCGGAGACAGCCGCAGAGGTGGGCGGTTTTAGTGACGAGCAAGAGGAGGACGTCCGTCTCACCGAAGCGTCCTTATCGGAAGCGCTTGCGTCGGTGACCGTCTCTGGGAGTCCCGGCACTGACCGACCGATTGGCTACGCCTCGGGGATTACTGGTGACCTCGGGGCACGACCTGCCGAAAGGTCCGCTTGGCTGTGTCCTGAGATAACAGTCGAGGGGCCTAACGAAGTAGTCGCTCCAGATGAAAATGACTGGAGGCGGGGGATTGTACAGGCTGTCCTTGCCCTTGATCAACCCTACAGTGAGACACAACCCCTGGGGATTGATGCAGCAATCTCACTACTTCGGGAGGGATTCACGATGGTTCTGGAAGCTGAGGGCGGCCTGCCCCAGCACGTAGTAGCATATGGTCGTAGAGGAGTACGTCTAGTATCCGAACCCTGTCCTGTAAGTAGTTACTCAAAGTGACGGGCAAGCGTGGAACCTTGCCTCACAAGTTCCTATTCTCTACCTCCTCGTGGTACCGCTGGATAGGTGGTGTAGGGGGAGAAATTTTTCTCTCCTTACGCTACTGAACCAAATGAGAATAGGGTATATAGGCCCCAGGGGTTGCCAGCCCCTGACGGTCTTTGGAAGTTGGCCCTACACTAAGAACCAAGCCTCGGATGAACCCCGGCGGATCCACTGACCCGCCGGACCAACCCCCCCCGCGGGCGGATTTTCGTGCCTGGTGTGTGACAGGGTGTTCTCCACAGCCACTGGCAGAGGTGTCCATACACGGCGAGCCCACCCCGCCGAACTTGACCAGGAACGTGCTGGAAGAGTGGAAATTAAAGCCAGGTGGACGCAGGAAGAGTTGCTAATGATGGCGAGGACAGAGGCTGAACTACAGGTTCAGGGACCACCCAGGTTTATGAACCAAGCCCTGCTCGAGAAGATTCCTAGCAGAACTCTCGAATCCATCAAGGGGCAGAGGCGGCGTCCAGAATACCGGGAAGCCGTCCAAAGATTCCTCCAAACCATCCCGCCGGACCAGCCAACCATCGACGACCAATTTGTTGACGTAGAGCAACCTACTGATGATGCCAGCACCACTAATGCGACAACCACCACCACCACCCAGACCCAACCACCAACCATTGACGACAACCAGCTCCAGGACCAGTCCCACCATATCCTTGAGGCGGTCCAAGCACTAGAGCACCCCAGAACTGGTTCCCACAACATAGGAATGCTCTTAAACATAATCCAGCATGCTGAGACCTCAGGAAAGGAGGAAACTCTTGCCCAAATCACTGCTTACCTCAACTTAACTTTTCCTCCCCCCCTAATAGACGCAAACCGGCCACCGAGAGAGCCGCGGACCCCAGGACGAAGCCAATATCCAAGAGGCAGAGACGCCGTACAGAATATGCGGTGACCCAAGAAAACTTCAGGAAGCATCAATCACGCTGCGCAAAATCGATCCTGGATGGACCTATCGAGGTTCAAATGCCCCCGCAGCAACCAATGACTGACTTCTGGACCACGGTGATGACAAGAAACGAGAACAGAGCCCCCCCAGATGAGGACCTTGTACAGCCCGAAGCAGCAAGCATCTGGAAACCAATCACTGCAGAGGAGATCCAGAGAACAAAGCCATCATCAACATCGGCTCCTGGCCCTGATGGAATCTCCCCAAGACTAATTAAGGCTGTCCCTTCCGAGACCTTAGTGAGGCTGTACAATATGATTTTATGGTGCGAGGCTCTTCCTCTCCCACTTCGTGAAGCAACAACAACGCTGATACCGAAGAAACAATTATCCAAAGAACCAGGCGACTTCCGACCCATCACCGTGCCATCAGTCATTGTGCGGCATATCAACGCCATCCTTGCGGCCCGCATATCTGCAAAAATCGTCCTGGACCCACGGCAGTGCGCGTTTATCAACTCTGACGGATGCGCCGGCAACACAGTTCTCCTTGACCTTATTCTTCGGTACCAGCACGAGAAGCTGAAGTCCTGCTTCCTGGCCAGCCTGGATGTATCCAAGGCTTTCGACAGCGTCTCCCACAATGCCATCGTGGGGACACTGCGGAGCTACGGATTTCATCCGGGGTTCATCAGCTATGTCGCGAACTCCTATCGGGATTCCGCGACCAAGCTGAGGGCTGGCGGCTGGGCTTCGGCGACCGTTCATCCGACGACCGGGGTCAAACAGGGGGACCCACTGAGCCCGTGGTTCTTCAACCTCGTGGTGGACCGGCTCCTCCGTCTACTACCAGAGGAAATAGGGGCAAACATCGGCGAGGGAAAAGTAAACGCCATTGCCTTCGCAGACGACATCATACTGCTCGCAAACACCCCACGCGGTCTCCAAGAACTCTTAGACAAGGCAACAACATACCTCCATAACAGCGGACTGACTCTAAACGCCTCTAAATGCCTTACTCTCTCTATCGTAGCACAGCCGAAACAAAAAGTGACAGTAGTCGAGCAACGACGTTTTCGCATAGGTGATGCTGCTCTGCCATGTTTGATCCGGGGGCAGACCTTCAAGTACTTGGGGATCTCCTTCGGCCCGGATGGTAGGGTCAAATATTCGCCGACGGAGGAGGTAATACTCCTCTTACAGCGACTCCAGAAGGCCCCATTAAAGCCACAGCAACGGCTCCACGTCTTGCGGGTTTACCTCATCCCACGGCTGCTGCACCGACTGACCCTATCGAACACCAAGATTGGATGCCTCAGGAAGACGGATAGAGCTGTCCGAGCATCTGTTAAGAGATGGCTCGACCTACCGGCAGACACACCGACCTACTTTCATGCCACGGTCAAGGATGGGGGCCTTGGAATACCTTCCATGAGATGGCAAGCGCCGCTGCTGCGATGGAGAAGGCTAAGAAGCATTGAACTCCCCCATATTCAGGCCAACATCAGTGCCAACACCTACATAGCTACTGAAATCGATAGAGCAACACGAAGGCTACAACATCCAGGGGGACCGATACGAACGACGCGCGACATGCAGCAAAAATGGGCGGAACAGCTCTACGTCAGTGTTGATGGGACCGGACTACGAGAAGCCTCAAAGATGCCGCGCGCACATAGGTGGATTCAAGAACCGACTAAGTTGGTAACTGGTCGCGATTTCATCCAGGCAGTGCGCATTAGAATCAACGCACTGCCCACAAGATCGAGAACTGCGCGCGGCCGAACAACAAAAGACAGACAATGCCGGGCTGGGTGCAACACCCCAGAGACGTCGAATCATGTCCTTCAACAATGTCCTCGTACCCACGGATCGAGGATTTGGAGGCATGACTCGGCAGTCAATTACCTGGCCCGCAGCATGGAAACAAAGGGCTTTGAGGTGACTCGGGAACCCTGCATCAAGGTCCACGACCGGACACTAAAACCAGACTTGATAGGGAAGGTGGGTCAACGTCTGATCATCGTCGACGCACAGATAGTAACCGATTCAATAGAGCTTAGGACGGCTCACCGAGCCAAGAAAGACAAGTACAATGGAGAAGATCTCAAAAACGTCATCAGGCAGCTCTTCTCAGCCAGCGATGTCATAACAACGACTGCAACATTGAACTGGCGCGGAGTCTGGTGCAAGGAGTCGGCTGAAGAACTAATCCTGAACAACATAATAAGAACCTCCGACTTAGCCCTCCTAGCCACCAGAACCTTACAGGGCTCCAGCAGAACATGGACGGACTTCAACAGAAGCACCAGGCTATACACTCACCGGACACCAACACCAGCAGCAAGGAGAGAACGGCCCTGGCCGGACTAGGTGCGAGAATGTGCCCGCAAACCCGGCGAAGCCTGCCGCTAAGTGGCTCAAGACCTGAGACATGGACCTATACAAGGTATAGTGTTCATGTCGAAGAAAAAAAAAAAAAAAAAAGCCAAATGCCTCGTCATCTAATTAGTGACGCGCATGAATGGATTAACGAGATTACCACTGTCCCTACCCACTGGTGTCTTACTGTTGTCGGGGTAAGACGTGTGTTACTTCTCGGTTCAACTTGAACATAACCGCAATCTTTGCAAGGGGCATAGCTCCATAACCGTAGTATAGTTTCGGGGGCACAGACCCATTTGTTAGTGGTGTGATCAGTAGTGCGCAGGTGCTGATAGTGTGGGGCCCCACAGATTGGAGTACGCAGGCTCATCTGGTTGGTGAGTGCGCAGGGCAAGGACCAAAAGGCAGAGACCTCATTAAGATAAGTCAGTAGTTAAGTTAGGTTAGATAGTTATTAGGTAGCCCAACCTACATTAGTCGACGCGAGTGTGCGCAGTGGCGAATATCAGATATATCTGATATTCGCCTTTTTTATGCAAAAAACTTTACGTACATATACAATTTGTTGGTAGTGCGCAGTGTAGTGGCGAGTCTTAGGGCTCGCCTTTTTTACCAAATAAGTTTACATACTTGTAGAACGTAGTAGCGCAGGATACAATGGCCGACAGGGATGACTCTCAGGAGGGATCCAAGAGGCGTAGGGAAGGAAAGGTCATGGACATTGAGAGACTAGAAAAGGAGTTGAGAGAGTCCGGTGGAAATTTCCCCAGGAGAAGTAGCCTGCCGAGATCTCCAGTCAGGATGTTCAGGGGTACGGAGGAGGAATTCTATACCCCTGAAAAACAAGAATCCCCGGAGCAAGCAGAAAAGAAAAGGAGATTATTGGAAACTAGCAAGGCAAAGATAGGGGTCATTCTCGCTAAGGCTATGGGGGAGGCTGAGGATATTCTTAGCAAATCCATCGAAGAAGCGGAGGAAAGTCAGAGGGGAGTCAATGAGGAGCTAACCATCGTTGGGGGGACGGAAGCAATGGGAACATCAGGAAGAGGTACTAGGCAGCAGGAAGGATAACAACAGGAGGGGACAATGGTCAGTCAATCAGGAGAAGAGGAGGAGAAGGAAGACGAGGAAAGCGAGGAAGAGGAGCAGGAGGAGGAAGAGGAGACAGGGGTTAAGGGTTATGAAAACTGTTATGGGTTTAATGTAAATGTTGAGCTCAATAAAGTTAAAACCTGTATCGCGAGCATCAGAGCGGCTACGACGAGGTACTCGGGATCTAAAATACAGTTTAATCGGGCTGAACAGACGGAAGTGTCTGATAGACTAAATGATCTATCAGACATCTTCACAGCGTTTGCTATCGCGCTAGGGGAGATTAAGGGTAAAGATAGAGGGGGGAACTCTATTGTATAATCACTGTTTTTTATAATAAAAACTATAAAACATTTCTTATTTGTGAGTTTAAAAAAACAAAACAATGCATTGGTTAAAATAAGTACATTCAATACATGTATTGTGTTAGACATTTATATGCCCAGTATATTTTTGTTTAACAAACCAATCAGAAGAAAATCCAAAACCTACCGTTATAGGAGGTATAAGATGATTAAACTTATATAATGACAACTACTTATCGGATAACAAATTAATTCTACTGTCAGCTACTGTCTAGGTAGAATATACCTAGAGTACCTACACCTACCTATGATGTAGGTAGATTAAAGCTTATTTTGACTTTACGTCTCACTTCGGTGTCACAAGCTGAATTTTTCAGGGATGGAAGTACAGTACATGATATGGGGACCCTTATTCCGAAAGTAGTACAAAATTAGACCGGGTAAAAGGGCACTATCATCAAAAATCGATATATTAATACCACCGTATAGAGCAAACAAATACTTATTTTTTGATCCAGTACACAATAAAGTCTTCGTAGGGAGTAATGTTTTATAATTATTTACAAAAATAACATTTCCATTAGCGCTTATGACCAAAAAAAACTTTAAATATGAATAACTCATTTTAATCATGCGAAAATTTGGTTTAAAAATAGACTTTTTTTAATATAACTTTCATTTAACGAAAAACGAAGGCCTAAATGAAAAAAAGAAACAATTTAAAAGTTTCGCTTATGTCTTGACAAGGTATCAAAGCAAACCCCATACTTTTTGCTTTTGTTTAAATTAGTTTTAATAAAGATATATCAATAAACAATTAGCGGTGTAAAGGTTTTTGCGCGCGCTGGCCGACTGCCGCCGCTGCACCGAGATTTCCTATACCCTTGTATATATGACGTCATGGTGTGGCAAATGTAGCATTTTAATTCGATTTGGGCTCCCATATATAGGATAACAGAAACATTTTCAATGTTAAAAGTATTTTTTTTCCTGATGTGGCGGATGCGCCAGGCTTCAAATAGTATAATATAAATATGCAGAAGTATAATATACACATAATCATACAAATGCAAAAAAATAAGCCGCCATAGCAGCATGTAACATGTTAAAGATAAACATTTTAGAAACAAATTTAGTCATATTACAATATTTAAAATGTTAACATTTTGGAAAATAAATATATCTGACCCTGTCCTGCAATATTGCGTTGGGCAGCTGTAGCTCCTAGAATAAAAAACTTGGGAACTTTGTTTAACTGCAAACCTAAAGTATACGAGGACGTATTTCAGGAAAATATTATAACTTCTACAGGGTGGCTCAAAAAAATGTGAGTGGATCGGGATCATTTTTTTAAATGGAACACCTTGTATATTATTGCATTTTTGGCTTGCTTTCAAATCGCTTTACATAATCCTAAGATATGAGTAAATACATTTCAATAATTTCAGAGATATTAATAAATAAATAAAAAATATTTATGTTTCAACCTTCCTTAAAAAAATTATTACAAATAAAAGAACTGTCCTGAAATCGAAACTATATTAGGTATTTATTTTAGATAGTCTATACTAACTTTGCTATAAATATCGTAATCTTAAATCATACAGGGTGTTCAAAATTCTACACCAAACTTTCTAAAATAAAAAATAATATTTCATTGTTTTTTTTTAAATGGAACACTCTGTATATTATTTTTTATTAGATGGAGGAGTTAAAAAATGAACATTTTTTGTATTTAGCTATTTCAATTTTTTTTTTATCGTTCGCAGATACACGCAGTATTATTCCATATGGGTCTTTCAACGGTAAAATATGAGAGAAAAATCATTGGGTGGCTTTGATAAAAATTTACTGTGGAAAATGCCATATGAAATACTTTAAAAACAAGAAATGTTCACTTTTTAATTCTCTATCTATTGAAAAAATAATATACAGGGTGTTCCGTTTAAAAAAACGAAGAAAACTTATTTTATATTTCAGAAAGTTTAGCGTAGAATTTTGAACATCCTGTATAATTTATGATTACCATATTTACAGCAAAGTTAAGTATAGACCATCCAAAGTAAATACCTAATATAGTTTTGATTTCAGGACGGTTCTTGTATTTTAGTAACTATTTCAAGAAAGGCTGAAATATATATATTTTTTATTTATTTATTAATATCTCTGAAACTATCGAAATACGTTTACTCATATTTTAATATTATGTAGTGATCTGAGAGGAAGCCAAAAATGCAATAATATACAGGGTGTTCCATTAAAAAAATCATCCCGATTCACTTACACTTTTTTAAGCCACCCTTTAGAAGTTAAAATATTTCCTGAAATACATCCTAGTACATACTTTAGGCACTAGGTTTGCATGTAAACAAAATTCCCAAGTTTTTTATTCTAGGAGCTACAGATGCCCGACGCACTATTGCCGGACCCTGTACAATTGAAGAATTAAATTGAAATTGGAAATTCAAAAAAGTTTTTTTAAGTTATTCTATATAATGTAAAGTAGGGGTCATTAAAAAACTTACTATACGATATAGAAAACCTGTAATTTTCTAATCTTATTAAATTGTTATGTATATGGCTTGCCTCTAGAATTTTTGTGTTTTTTTACCATAAATGAAATTCGTAAGAATGTCTAGTCAGCATTTTTGGTCATTCACTTCTTTCAATCCTAAATGAAAAATTTCATTTCCTTTTTTTAATACAAAATTACAAGATGCTGCAACATATCCATCGCCCATCAAGTTTTTTTTATTTTTTTTTGTTTCTGAATCTAGAGTGCTCTGCATTCGTTAAATATATACCGTGTGATAAAAAAAAGGCATCCAGTTGGCTTGGAAGTGACGATCGATGACATTCCCCATATAATTTTACTTATAAAATGACAGCGATTCTCACTTCGTGACGCCGTTTTTTTTTTCAATCATATTGTATTTTTTGGGGTCTAACAAAGGGTAAAAAATATTGCTAATCCTTTAACGTTTATAATTTGGATTTTGTCGTAAATACAGGGTGTGTATATTTTAAGTGGCACAATTATTGATACCATGATAATATCTCCGAAACTGTAGGAGATACAGGGTCGATTAAATTATAGAAAAGTTGCAATTTTGATGCTCATTTAACAACTTTTTACCTTGTTGCAAAATTTCTCTTTGTTACTGAGATACAGAGTGATTTGTGAAAAACGGTTCTTCCGTTTCAAAAATTTAAAAAAAATTTCTTCTGTTCAACATTTTGAAATGTATCAATTTACCAAAAATTTTAGTTTGGTTTGGTTGGTAAAAACTTTATGTTTTTTTAATTCTACAATACGGTATATATAGATTTCAATTCGAACGAAGAGAAATTTTGCAACAAGGTAAAAAGTTCTTAAATGAACATCAAAAATGGCAACTTTTCTATAATTTAGTCGACTCTTAATCTCGTACTATTTCGGAGATAACAATAGCTGCTGTTTTTTTCAGGTAAACTCCAGTTTTAAGATGGAGAAAAGTATAGTTCATTTTAATATTGAGAAAGAGTATTTTTTACCTTTAATTTGACACCCGAAAACCACATTTTTTAGCGCAAAGTACTATAGATTAAAAAAAAACAAATTTCAGAATGAACCAGAAATGTCAAAAAGTGACAGTTGGTCCCATTCTCCAATGAATCTAATTTTCCCCAAATTTAAAGGCATTTTTTCTATCAATTAATAAAATTGCTATCAAAAGACATACAATAAAAAATCTTACTTTTTAAAAATATT